TGTAAACAGTAAAACGCACTGCCGTGTAAAGTCCTTAATCAGTCTAGTGCTTGACGCGTGTGGTGCAAAATGAGCTGCATACGACAAGATCATGGAAGGAATGCTAATGGGATCACCACTTCATTACAATTTTCATGTATTTATTTTGCATAAATTTTAATGTTTTGCTCTTGTCATTAATACGACATTATTTATCTACTTTTCTTACCCCATAAAGATTTAAAGAAAAATTAAATTAAATATCATGACCAAATGCTTGCATCGTTGCCCTCCGATAATCGCATTGGTTATTTTTTTCGATTAAAATATCGGCGCCAACGTTAAAACATTTGTTTATTTATTAATGTTATAGTAGAGCATCTTCAATCAATATGTTAAATTGCCACATGGACATGAGATGCTCTTTATAAGTTTATGAAATATTTAACCTAGTCGGCCATCCGTACGTATGATAATCTCACTTAAAAAGTTTCTCACAATCGTACAAGTAATTTCTCAAAATTCAATCATTTTTAAAAATGATCAAGTTGTGAACACTAAACACGTCATGTGAACTTGAAAACCATAAACCCTCATTAAATCTTGCATATGCAATTATGCATGTTTGCAATAACTACCAAAATTCATACCATTATTAGGTGACACACACAATCTAAATGGATTTTGTTTTCCTAATTAGTGACACAATCTATAACTATTTGGATATGAATAATGAACTAAAAGAATTAATAGGACACAAAAAGTCTAAGGAAGGGTACAATGAATATGGAAAGATAAATTAATATGACACAAGGACAATATGGTATTATGGTGACCAAATTCAGTGTGTAGCATTATTCTCACCCCATTCTTATTTTCCCAACACTATTCAATATATTTTTTTAAGATTTATTTACACCATTCCTTGAGATTTTCGACATTTTCACAAAATCCCCAAAGGTATCATAAATTACACGAACATTCCCCGAAGTTTTAAATAATTTTCATGAAACCCTTTTGCATTGATTTTTCATCCAAAGTTTGATGATTTTATATAATAAAAAATTATCCAAATGACAAAGTTAGTCTTTGAGATTGCACATACATTCATTGAGGGTTAATTTTGTCATTAGCATAAATTTTCTTCACTTTTTGGATGAACAATCAATGAAAAGGAGTTTTGTAAAAACAATTTGAAACCTTAAGGAGTGTTTGTGTAATTTTCGAAACTTTAGGGGGTGTTAATATAAAAGGGTTAATTACTGTAGACGTCCGTGAACTATAGAGCTAGTTGCAATTGGGTCCGTGAACTAAATTTCGTGGCAATTTAGTCCTTTAATTAGACAATAAGGTGCAATTAGGTCCTGCCGTAACAGAATCCGTAGAAATTGACCATGTGAGTGTCACGTGCTCTTGTTGTTCAGGGTATTTTCGACTTTTCGTCATTTTGTCCAAATCCACCTCATGCTTTCCCTCACCATCCCTTTGACTAATAAGTTTTTAAGTTAAAGAAAATTAAAAAGTTTTTTTTATATAAATAAAAAAAAATTAAATAAAAAAAAAAAACAACCCAGCCACCATCCCCGTTTCTCCCACCCCCATTCACCATCCCTATCCCCAAAGAATGCCCTCATCTTCCTCCTTTCTTTCTCCTCTCTCTGCAACCAACCACCGCACCATCATCCATAACCACCCATACCCACCTACACCCCCAACTACAAACGTCTACAGTAATTAACCCAATAAATAAATAAACTTACAAATAAAAAATAAAAATAAAAATCCCTCTCTGTTTCACTCTGTCTCTCCCTCTCTCTCGCAACCTATTCCACCTTCCTTATCCCACCCCCTCAAAACACAGAGGAAGACCAACAACAACAGCAACAGAAATTGCAGATCATTATATGTACAAGTGTAGTGAGAAATCAATCAATCAAAGAGAAAGCTTGACGCCCGAGCGAATCGGATCGAATCATATCTTTCTTCTTCTTTGATGGCTGTTTGTTTTCTCTTGACCCTTGTGTTTTCTAGATTTATTTTGTTTCTGGGTTTTCTTCGTGGCTTGAAATTATGGTTATTTGAGATCTGAAATTGTAGCCATGCTGGGTGTATTTGATTTGGTTGAAAGTATAAAGTTTCAGCTATTTGGGGCTGAGATTTGATGTGGGTATTGAAATTTCAAGTTTGATATTTGTTGGGTAATTGATTTTCTGGACTTTATAAATGAAGATTGAGATGGGTTTAGGAGGTGGGGGTTGGGATATTAAACAGCTCAGCGAATTTTTTTGCTTCTCAAATCCTCCTCCGTTTCCCCTTCAAGTCTTTTGACATCAGCAACTCCGGCGGCAGAAAGTACTCCAGGGATTTCTTCAATCTGGTTTTGCTGGTCGTTGGGTGATAGTAGGCTGAACCCAAAACTCGAGAGCTTCCAGAGTACTTCAGTAGTATCAGTAATATTGGGCTCAACAGGGCTTACATACTCTGGATAGTGGTAGAAATCCCCAAATGGCATGGTGCCCAGGTTTCTGCCCATTATCATCTCAGTTCTTCAGTTCTTCATTTGGGGGTCGAAGCAAAGGGTTTAAGGCGAGTGTTCAGATTCGAAGGAGAGTCTTCAGACTTGAAAGGACGTTTTTACCCTCATTTTGACGGACAAATTGACAGAGTTGGACGGTAGGACCTAATTGCAACTGATTGTCTAATTAAAGTATGTCTTTGCCACAAAAATTAGTTCGCGGACCCAATTGCAACTGGGGCCATAATTCACGGACGTCTACAGTAATTAACCCTAATATAAATAACTCTATTTTAAAATGATAAGTCTATTCTTATGTAAAATTACTTTGAAGGAAAACTTTTAGCATCTTAAAAAATTAAAAGTCAAAAAGCAATTGTGGTTGCCTTGGCCATTGGCCTTCCTAAGCCACCAAAATGGATGAAGACCACATCCTAAATCATCTTCCTATAAGAAGTATAGAAATTTAACACCAATTGTGCTAACGTTTAGATGACATAATGAGGCCGATAATGTATTAGTTCAATAAAACTTTATTTATACCAATTCAATTAGAAATAGTCACCATTTTAATTAGTAAAACTTAAGATCAATAGTAAGTCAGAAAATGTGTAATTTACGATAAAATTAGAGATAATTAAACTCGTTACAATTTTCCGTACCATTACCTTTCTTGTATTTCTCCATAATTGTCACAAAATAATTCTAATTCATATAAAGATTATACTTCAGAAATAATATTGTGTTCCAATTCTAACCATTTGAACATCAAAGTAATCATCGATATATCAACTACATCAAAATTAGTATAAGAAAACATTAAAGAATTTATTTTTGTTAAAGATGTAGTTTTTAAAGTTGGTGGAATAGAAAACTATGAAAATTGGCTTCTTTATGCCTCAAGTTGGTCAGAAAAAATGGGTAAAATGCTGAAAGCAGAACACTATTACAAGGAAGTTATCATTGGCAGGTCAGGTGACCCTTGTCAGCCTTAGGTCCAGTTTGGGATTGCTGTCACTTTTAAAAGAAGTTGCTTCTGCTGTGCTTTGAAAATAATTAGCTGTAAAGTAAAGCAGCTCCATGTTTGGTAAATAATATTTTTAAAGTGTTGTTAGTACAAAAAGCAGTGTAAAAAACGTTTGGTAAATTTTAATATAAAATTATTGTAACTGTGAATAATGACTAAAATAGACATGATGTTAAAAGTGTTATGTACTAATCATGTGGTGGTAGTTGTAGTGATGGAGTGGAGGTGGTGGTGGTGATGAAGGGGAAGTTGGTGGTGGTGGGGATGGCGGTTGTGGAGGTGGTGGTGGTGGTGGTGTTGGTTGTGGAGGTGGTGGTGGATTTGGAGGTTTTGGAGGAGGAGGTGGTGGTGGTGGTGGAGGAGGAGGTGGTGGTGGAGGTGGTGGTGATGTTGGTTGTGGAGGTGGTGGTGGATTTGGAGGTTTTGGAGGAGG